AAATAATCTATATTCATATATATATTTTTTTATCATCTCTATACATTATACTACTTATATAGAAACAAGAAAAGTATAAAATAATTGACTCTGTCAACCTGTCCACCGGCGTAAGTAAAAGTAATCTCAAAAGGATATAGCATGGGTTTTGTGTGGATCCTTTTTTTGCACACATTTTTTAGTGGTTATACTTACTTTTCGATTAGAAACAAATTTAACGGTCCGGTGCAAGAACCTCACTATTTATCAAAAATTGTTTTTCATTTTTTCAGTCTAGCTAAGTAATTAGCATCGAAGATAAAAAAAAAACTGAACCGAATAAACGCAACTATATTTCGACCTCGACTATAATAGTATAAGTTGTGCGGACGACGATAATTCGGTTGATTAATTTTGACGAAGATCTATATATTAATATTATTGCCGTTTATCACTTATTATTACCGCCGGCGCCGTTTGTATAATAATGTTTGATCGTGCGTGCGTTTCCATGGTGTCGTGTTCTCGGAACCCATTAAAATTCATTAATTAAACAGTACTTACGTATATGTATGTATATTATTATTATTTTTTTTTTTCATTTTATTTCCGACTTAGAAACTCCGTCATAATGAACGGCCCGGATGAAAAAACGCAAATTAACAAACGACAATAACGATAATGATAATAATTAAAAGAAATTCTCCCAGAGCTCGCAATTATTAAGGGTCACCGTCTTTGGGTTCAAATTAATTTCAATTTTAATTGCCGACACTGGCGAAGCCCAGTTGTGTTAACGCAACGTTATAATATTAGCTGTAGACCCAAACGTTTGTCGGCCGATAGTGTCCCAACAATCAGTGGAACCGATTAATTGTATGTTTATGTTATTGCGAACATTGGCAGTATGCTTGAAAGTCTTGGAGATAAAACTTACCTGGGCAGCAAGGCAACAAACCGGTCGTGAGTTGCGGTTAAAGGTGGTAGAAGAGAGAAATTTAAGTATTTGGGGCCAATTCACAGATAGAATGGTTGTATTGAACGAGATGTGGCGAGCAGAATAAAGGCATATGGTCAAACGTGTGAGCATTGTGGACATTGGCAACAGGTGTGTCGTGTGACAAAAAGGCGTACGGAAGTGAGTATTGGTGTCAGAGAGATGGGGGAAAATCGTAAGGGCTTGACTTGGTTGGAAACAATAAAACAAACAAAAATGTACACGAGGGGATGTATGCAGGAGTCGTGTCAAACGTTTTTTTTTAAAGTATTTTCGAATAACATAAAAAAAACCTATTACAAACACAAAAATGTAGGTTTTTGTTTGTTAGTTATATAAAAAATTTTTAATTTTAGTTTGATTTGGATTTCCATCATTTATTTTTTTATTGAAATAACCATTTCTTACTGTTTATAATTATACAATCATGAGTTATTGTGGTAATTTAATTACATTTTACTAATATTATTTACATCTCATGTTATACAATAATAACCAAATATAATAGCAAAAACAGAGAGAAAAAAGTAAATTAAAAAACAGTATTATAGCTAATTACGAATGAATTCATAGATATAATTATGTACATAATGAAATATATCTTCTAATTAGTTAACAAATATTTTACAGATCACATAATAATGATTGGCTTATTTAACTATTAACATTATAATATCAGTATTAGTTCTTAAGTATTTTTTAACAATTAAATTGAGAGAGTTGAGTAATTTAGATAATTTAGGTCCTAAGTAATCAATGAATTTTCGGCCTATATATTTTTTTTGCATAATTAATTTTTATTTCTTAAGCTATATTTTTGCTATCATTTGATGGTATATCTTTAAACCCGCCATAAACGGTTAATAAATATATATTTCTCAATTTTAATTACCATTTATTTGCTTATGGCTCACATTTTTTTTAACTGTACAGATTGTATATTTTTCTAATAAATAAATAAATACATATTTATTTATAAATTATGTAATTTATTTAGATCCGACGTTCTCAACGAAACCAAATGGGTCCAACGAAATTAATTGTTCTCCGCAAGAGACGCTTTAGCGGTAATGTATTACTTTCATTAACGTTTTAACCAAATTGGATTTACTGCATGACATAACAAATTGCACCATTTGTATTCGAGCGTAATAAATTGCTAATTGTTCCATTTTTTATCACCTACCACTCTCGTTTATTATTATTTTCGTTTAAAGCGTGCGTTGGATTCGGGCAAGTATTTTTGGGCGTTTATAAAAAAAAAATATATATATATATAAACAACACTATTATCTTATGGAACTAAGACATACAAAAAAACACTGTTTATTTATTTTTTTTTTTTAATTTATACGTTTCAAATTACTTTAAAAAAAAAATATTTTGTAGTGCTGTTCACCGGTGTCTTTTTTTTTTTTTTGTTCTGTTGTTGTAACATTTTATGGTTTTAATGGAATTATTTTCGCTCCGGGCCGACAAATCCTCGAGGACGGATAGTTTGCTGTTTGGAAAGTTTTATTTTTCTCTCTGCACACGAAAACAGAACTGTTTTGGAAAATCCTGTAAACGCCGACGGGAAAACATAGTTTTTCCAATTTTGCAGCCACATTGTAAACCGAAACGCCAAACACGGTACATTACCCTGACATTGTAATCCCCCCGGAGGAAATCGGATACTTAAACTCAAAATAAACCCACCGTTATCAGCTATTACGGTGAGTCGGGTCCGAAATTAGCGAAAATTTCCAAGAAAATTTGTGAAAATACTCCACGAGTCCACGGAAAACAGATACATTAAATATATTATTCGGCTATAAACAGTTGTAATAGTTGTCCAAAACTGGTTACCTAAACGTTCAGCAAATTATTCTTTATTTCAAAATTAACTAAACATCTATGTAGGTGTGTAACCTTGCCATTTAAGTGTCAAAAGTTGATCTTGAAAACTTCTGTAAAGATAAAATGTTAAATATTCTACAATAATACCAACTGTAGCGTGTCCATAAGGAACAACTACAAAATTGCAATTACTTTAAGTGCAAATGAGTGTCTGAATCGCCCTGTATTGGGGTATTGGAGTGGTCATTTGGCTAAATCTAAATGTTAAGTTTTAGTGAAAAATTGTCTACTCAATTTTTCTGATTGTCTTATTAATATTTCGAGTGTGTGTCAACATTGATTATTGCTCCGACCCGTCTTTGGTAAAATGTGCTGGATTCGTATTGAATACCGTGTTTTAGGTTGTTTTTTTTATTTATTAAATATTATTTACTCAAACCAACGTTATTCCGGTTCGTGTAGTAATATATACATATATATATGTACACACCGTGGAATTAAACGCATTTCCGTGTTTGCTCGAAGTTTGTACACAATGTACCATATTACATGTACATTCATTGGGGATTAGAAATGTCAGCGTTTCCCATCAAACCGTAAATCCAGGCACCAAGTTTTGCCGTGTACACGTGTGCATGAGTGATGAGTTCATGCTTATCGATTCCATATGAACACTTGTGTGGACTTGTTTATCGTTATGGAAAAACCACAAAAATTGTGTGTGGTTTTAAATTATGAAAATAACTAGACCTACTGGTGTACATCTTAAGGTCGAATTCGGAATCGGGAAAACACTGTTGTTTGGTTTTTGTTCATCAATTGTGTTTGAACGAAAATTTTGACCAAAACCCTATTGAAATGCTTGACTTTTAATTTTCAAAATAACAAATAATATCTACAGACTGATAACTGATTCGCCAACTATGAACCAGTCAGATAATGGTTTTTTTTTTTTTAAGTATTCTTTGTCATACATTCACAGTTAACAGTTTGAACCGAATTGGACATATTTTTCAAATACAAAACTCCATTTATTCTTTTGTGTTAAACATGATATACATTATAAAAAAACAAACAAAAATAATTTCCACAGCTATTGATCAGCACACTATACTATATGTTATTTCAACTAAATATTTGATTATGTTATTTTGTTCGAACCTTTTACACTGTCGTTTAATCAATTTACAGTATACACTATCGGTTACAACACACCGGATACAGCCCAACCCACATAATGTTACATTTTTATATACCCCGAACAAATTAAAACAACAAATTAATATTATAATAATTTTTCGGTACCGATTTAACTGACGTATTGTGTGTTCTCCATTTGATGTGGTTTTATTTATTGAGTTAAAAAGCGCTTGGACAACTTAGGTCATTAGCCTACATGTAGGTACAACAGCTATAATAAGATCTTCATTTCTATACTATCAGACATTAAAAAAACATCTCTAAGTATTTAACTGAAACCGACCTGAATCATTTGACTAGAAAACGTTGTAAAATGCCTGCAAACTTATCTGAACATTGTCAAGTATCAAAGTAATGATCCAAAAATGTACAAAACTCAATAAACGGATCTTTTATAAAAAATATTAATACCTTGACTAAAAAACAACTACTATAAGAACATATATTCATAAGGGTAAGTATGTTATGTTAAATGACAGGTTTAGTTCATTTTTTTTTTTTGAGATTATTTGTAAGGGAAAAAATAAACATAAATAATTTTAAAAAAACAAGACACTAATATTTTCTATCCAACGTTTTCGGAAAAACTGTAATACTTACTGACCAGCAAGTGTCCAAGAAAAACTACAATATATTATATCGAAAATATTGACAACTTTTAATAGTGTTGTAAAAAATAAAATAATTGAAAAGTAGCTCCAAATTAAAAGGTTCGAATTGACTTAGCCAAACGTTCTAATGAATAGGTTGTATGTCGGTGCTCTTTTGGCTTTTAAGTGAACTTCTACCTGAAACTTACTGGATAATAAAGTTTCGTTTAGCTGGAATTGTCAAATTAATTAAAACTCTATACCATTAGCTCGGCGTGCTTTGAAAATAGTCAATACGGCAAGGCAGTCCTTGGAAACGTTATATTTTATTAAAATGTAAGTGTGTGCTAAACATGTCGACTAAAAAATAGGCAAAAATGTTTATAACAATTTTTTATTTTTACAAACAACTATAGTCCACGTACAATATTACTTTTCCCGAATACACTAATAATTTAAAACAAATTTTAATAATATTGACATATTATAACATAAACATATTTAGCAAAAACTCAAGCACCACTTCTGCAGTTATAATATATAATAGTAAAAAATACATAAATATCCCTTAACCACAACAGCTAATACACCAAAATATATATAAGAATGGCTCCTCCACAGCGACCCAGGTACTTATTTCTTATGATTTTCGAAAAGTGGCGTTAATTTTAAGCTGGGCAAACGTTCAGCTTTTAATACCAGCCGTGGTTTAATCGCAATATCTTTTTGTGTTCCCAGTGTTTCCAATTTCATGTGTCTAACAACCGTTGATAGTACCGTCTTCATTAGATACATTGCAAATTTTTGACCTGGAACAGTAATTAATTATGGTTTATAATATGATAATCCAAATTGGTTTTGTTAGATTCATTTGTTAATTAATTATATCATACCAATACAGTTTCTTGGTCCTGCGCTAAACGGCAGGTATCCATATGGGTGTCGATCGTTACACTGCTCTGGTAAAAATCTGTCGGGATCAAATACTTCTGGGTTTGGATACATTGACTCGTCACGATGTAGTATATAAAACGAAACGCCTATAATACTATGTGCAGGTATTGTGTGGTTTTCTAGAATATTAATATGCTGATAACTTTAAGTCCAGTATAGAAATTAAGTTTTTAAACATACTAAGCTGTAATGGTTGGTTCAGTGTTCTTGTAACACCAGGAACACTGGGGTAAAGTCTCATGGTTTCTCTTATTACTCTTTCTAATATGGACATGGATTTAAGGTCTTCCATTGTAGCATCTCGATCACTGTCACCAAATATTCCCTGAAGCTCTTCTCGGATGTCGTCCTATAAATGTCACCGGTTATATAAAACAGGTGATAAGTGTTTTTTTTTTCGTTAGATTTTATTTTTAATGTTAAAACTTATGATAGTTTGTATGAAATATTGAAAGAAAAAAAAGAGGAAAAGGAAGTGTACAATTTGACCAAGATTCGAGAAAAGAGGTCCAGGGATTTTCAGAATGTGTGGTGTATAAATGGCGAAGATGAAGAAGTGCTAAGAAAAAGGTGATAGAAAAGAGAATACGGAGTGAGACTACAATATCGAAGAATCAATTTGGGTTTATGCCAGGGAAACAACAGTGGAAACATAATTTTGTATAAATCGGTGGTGCAAAAAAATAGTGGGTATGATGAGGATGTGAAAAATAGAATAAATTGTGAATGAATGACGCGTATGGGAGCGTCGGGTGTTTTTTGTGACAGGAGGATGCCTATTAAGGTGAAAGTAATTATTTGTAGGTCGGTAGTGAGGCAAGCAATGTTATATGGGTCAGAACGTTGGGCAGTTGATAAGAAAACTAAACAGAGAATGATTGTAGTGGAAATGAGAATGTCAAGATGGATAAGTGGATTGACTAAGGATGATAAAATAAGAAATCAATACGTTAGGGAGAGTCAATGGGTTGCATCAATTGTGGAGAAAATGAAAGAGAATAGGCTGAGATGGTTTGTTCAGTTTATGAGAAGAGATGAGGCAGAGGCAGTCAGAAGAGCTATGAAGATGAATATAGAGGGAAAAAGAGGAAGAGGAAGACCAAAGAAAAGATGGATGGATGGACTAGATAGTGGTATGAGGACAGCGGGGGTGTATGAACGAGATGTAGAACACCGAGCTCTATGGAGGTGTAGGACTAGGGTGCCCGACCCCCTGTAATTAAGAGTGTAAGGCGAAGAAAAAGGAGAAGACAATAATTTTAAAGAACTGTGAGGCTATATAAAATTGCATACAGTATCTAATTGTGATTAATTAATAAATTAAAAGATGGTATTATGGGATTAGGTAAATATCTATTATACTATTTGGTAAAAATCTACATAAGAATAAATGTTGGACATTTTCATTATCCTAAATTCATAGTAGTAGTTTAGTTTTTTTATTTCACTATCAAATATTAACTAATTTAATTGAATAATTTTTTCAATAGTATTTAATATATTACTTAGAAATCTTTGGTTGGAAATGAAATATAATCTACAAAATTGCCTTAACTTTAAGACTTATAATACTTTAGCACCTAAAAAATGCTTTAAACTATGTTTAATAAATAGAAAGATTAACTATTAAAAAATAATTTGTAAAATGTTGACCAAAAATTAGTGAATAAATGAAAAGATTAATTATTAATAATAGTTCACATAAAAAAATTGTCATATTTCATTTCAGATAATATATATTTATAGATATACTAAGCACCTGGATGTTTTGATTCATGCCGATGTGAATTAATGCCATTGTCATAGCTATTGAAGAGGTATCGTGTCCTTCAAATAGAAAAGTATCTACTTCTTCCTGAATGTCAGCATCTGTCATGGAGTTTGGATGTTCCTTGGAAATGCCGATTAATAGGTCAAGGAATGAATATACTTTTTTTCTGTCTTCCTTAGTCCCGGCTATTGGGTTTTCGGAAAAATTAAGTTTTTGTTTTCTTTGTTGAATAACCTAAAGTTTGATTTGTGTTAAAAATAGAACAATGACAAGTTGCGCATGACTGTCGATAATATTGTGTTTTTATTACATTTTTACTAAATTCATGTAGTACTTTTAACGACTTATAAAATTGTCTACCCCAAGTACTGACGTTGAAAATCGTGTCGCTCCAAAGCCAAACTGTTAACATTCTTTTCATAGCTAAATGACTCACACTTGTAAAACAAAGCATTTAATTAATCTTAATTTTTTACTTGGGTAAGCTTAAGCAGAGTAATAAATGTAATTTATACAAATAACTTTTTACTTGATTACACTTACGTTTTTACTGCTTTAACATAGTCAATGGATTGTCCTTCTTGTGATCTCACGTTGACGCCTAGCATTGTTTCTGTAAAATAAATCAAGAGCGGTATATTTAATTTTACAATCATCAAATAAATGATTTCAGAACGATAGTATTTTTAAGTAAAACTTCTTTACAATGGGTACGAACAAATATAGTAGGACGGATTATGGTGGGGTTGGGGCATAGTTATTGAAGAAAAATGTTATTGGTATGCAGTGATTAAATTTTTGTAAGAAATACATCTATAATTCTTTTTCGGAAATCATAAACTACTCTTCATTAAACTAATGCCAGCGTCACTCCTCATTTCTTTAACCAATTATATCACTGTCACCAGACATAGGTGACTTTATTTATTGTTACACCTATGTTTTAAAAAAATACCATCAATAAAATCAATAAACAGAAGAGCAACTTACCGCATACAATATCTAATGAGCATAGAGTCACGTGCGAGTGTAAGTCAATTTCATTGTTTTTCGATGCCTTGGCTAGGCTTTGCACTAAACCGTTTGCATGATGGTTAAAAGCTGGTATATATGATTCTAAAATTTTGAAGTGGAATGTATTAGTCAGTAGCTTTCTTCGCGTTTGCCATTTCTCGTCTAAAACATTACAATATTTAATAATAAAATATAGCGACCGCTTAATATTCGATGTAGACATTTAGGCGATAGATCATACCAGTGCTGGTCAGAAGCCCTTTTTTCAACCAGGGCTCGAGCATCCTGTATCCCGGTCCTTTGATAATATATTGAGTACTGGACAATAATATCTATAGCACAATAAAGTATTTCTTCTTGTATTAAGAATTAAGAATGTTGTAACTAACTTATACCTTTATGTCCTCTGGGTCGACTATAATGACGTAGTCCCGTAAAATAGTATTGATATGCACCAATGGTCCTATATTTTTAAGAACTCTGGTGTAATAGGGTAACAAATCTGAAATTTTCAGACAGTTGAGTAATTACATTTTCGACAACAGAATAATTTTTGATAATAATTGATTTATACTAAGGACGTGAATAAAAATAACTAATTATATGATACTAATTATATGAACTAATTATATTATTTTTCATGATTTTTACATTTGCCTGTGACCCTAGAAACGTCGACTAAATTTGATAATTTCCACCGGGTATTGGACATTAATTTAAACCGTATTCAATCCTGTTGAGTTATAATTGTATGATTTGACTTACCTACTACAGTGAATTATGAAATAAGCACCTACTATAACTGTACTACTCAAGTTATTAAGAAACTATTATTTAATACAACTTAATAGTAAATGATTTTCAATATTAAAAAGTAATAAATATTTCCTGACTATTTAAGACAACGATTCACAATTCAAGTAAGGAGGGTAAGAAGAATACCACTTTTTTATCTATAGTTTTAGTTAATAGTTTCTGTCTGAGTATGTTATACAATTTATTTTCGAAGGAATATTTAAAAAACGTTTTATGTTTAAAATATATTTTAATAGCCAGGGACATAAAGCCATTGAACAATATTTGGTCTATGCTATATCAGAACAAATCTTTTTTTAATTAGGCATCTACTAATAACTGAAAAATTCTAAATATATAACAAAAATACTACCTTGAGGGCTCATACTAGAGACGAGCCATATAAAATTGATTGTTTCCAAGTAGGTTTTCGTTAAACTCGGTAGTAGAGATATTTGTTTTCTACGTTCGATCGCACGTTCGTCATAATACATTTTGTAGAATCTGCAAGTTAGTAATATGATAAGCAATAACCATATTATTATAGAAATGTTCGAAACTGAAGCCAAAGCTCCAGAGAATATGCTCAGCAAGTTCATTGTGAGAAAACTATGAATCAAAGAACTGTTAACGATGGTGTGGAATCACACACTGTTGCATTCACAATATACGTTTGTACAAAAATGAATGTTAAACTCAATGTCAAAGAAAATCCAATTTTATTAAGCTGCTTTAATTTAATATAAATGTAAATTATTTAAATTTATTACTATTATACGTAATTTTCATAAATTATCATTTTACACATAAATTAAAGAAGTGATCAAATATATACAAAACTACAACTATGGGGGTTGTATGTGAACCTTACAATAGCTAATGACCATTGTAGTCGATACTTCATTAGTTAAATAAAAACAATATGCATAAATAATTATGAATAAATTTAAATTAATATTTATTTTCGAGCATCAATTCAAATTGTTTTCTCCACCTTCGTGCACACAGAAGGTCACGAAAACCCATGGAAAATAGGTTCAAGGCGTATTATCTAAAATATATCTGCAATTCAGTAGATTGTAAATTAAATTACCTATTAATTATAAACAGTGTCTTTGTATTAACGGTTTCGTGATTTTTAGTGCGCCAAATTTAACAACTAAATCATTTATTTATGAATTACGGTATTATGCTTTAGAAACACAACATGAAACAAATAATATAACACCAAAAATTGTTATCAAAACAATGGAAAAATCGAATAATTTTTCAATTCTAACTCTTGTGGGTCCTGAGTATACTTCTAGCTCGAAATGCTTAACGGTCTATTATACTACAGTTACAGGACCTCCTTATGCTCTACATCTCGGCTGTAAAGTTGTACATAGATCTTATAGGTTTTTATAGTTAAAACCGTTCATGAAGTGTTATTTATTTCAGAAATGTCAACAAGGTAATTATGTCCATTGTTAATGAAGCTTCACAATATTTTTTCTGTTTTTTATAATTCCTAATTTCTATTGTTCTAAATCTTATCGCCGCCACCAAACAATAAACATATTATGTATTCACTACTGCTGGTTTTCCTTATAATGTGTATAATATCAAATTGAATTTAAATATTAATGATTGAGGAATTAAAAAATTATTCAAATATAGCTGTTATCTTCTGACCTTGTGTTATTTTTTTTTTTTGTGTGTTTCAACTATTACCCACTTTATACATTTTAATGTACCCTAAATGTATACTTTGCAATATCATATGGTTTGCTAAAAAACAGATAGGCCCGTACTGCGAAACTCAGATACCAGTCGAAAAATGTTGTTAGGTATTTATGGGATTTGTGCAGAATCCAACATGCAAACATTCTTTTTGTAGACATGTTAAATCTTAAACTTCTGACCTTTTGTTTTTTTTTTTTTGTGTGTTTCAACTATTACCCACGCTACACATTTTAATGTACCCTTAATGTATCCTTTGCTATATCAAATAATGTTTGCAAAAACACAAATCGGCCTATGTGTGACACACAAATGCCAGTCGACAAATATTATTAGGTATATATGGCATGTGTGCAACATACATGTTACCGTAAGCGTTTTGATTTTTGCTAGAGCTTTTAACCTTACATTATTACATTATAATCATAGAATATAAGAATAATACCAATAACAGCTATTGAACTATTAAAATGATCTCAATTTCTAAACCACGTAGATGTTATATATCTCTCTACTCGACATTCGGTATATACGTACATATATAAATATATATATTTTTTTTTTTAAAGCCTAAAACGAAATGTCTTGCACTAGTGTATAACACAATAATATTATTGTTTCCGTGTAATTTTTCGGCTGACCGGAATAGGCTTTGTTCCGAAATATGTGAACACCAGTGTTATTATCTAAGCAATATTTCTATTGGCCTTAGCAATACTAAATACAAGGTCATTCACTTACTATAAGCGTCAGCTGGTTAATACATTTCAGAAGACATAATAAGACTTTTTGAATACTCTTACAATTGGCCCATTTTTTTTTTTATTAAAATCAATTTGCTCAGAATTTATAAAATAGATAATTAATAAAATTAAATAAAAAGTATTTGATATTTACTCTAACAGCTGTTGTTATAGATGAAAATTTAAGTAGGGAGAAATAGGTAAAGTGTCCTAAACAGGTAATCGACCAGTGGCCATTTTAATACTAGACGAATTAAATTTAATTACCAAATAAATATTATTACCTAATTTAAATAAAAATTATTTGCTTTTATTACTATCTACTGTTTATTACTATGATTTACAGGATATGTGAGGACCTGATGTTCTAAAGTATCTTTTTTGAATGATTCTGTCCTCTACAGTGCTAAATGATTTGACCAATGATTTTCGAAAAGTGGTGTTATTTTTAAACTGGAAAAAACAATCAACTTTAAATGTCAACAAAGGTAAAACAATAATATCTTTTTGTATTCCTATTGTTTCCCATTTCATGTATATAACAACCGTTGATATTACAGACTACATTTGATACATCGCAAATTTCTGACCTAAAAAGTCAAAACAGTCATTCCCACTTATTTTATAAAATGACAATCTAAATAGTTTTTATTAGATTAATTTGTTTAATAATTATATCATTCCAATACAGTTTCTTGATCCTGCGCTAAACGGCATGTAACCATATAGGTGTCGATAGAAGATAAATTATAGAAAATGGAATGGCTAAAATACGTTCTGCAGGTATAATGTGGTTTACTTAATTAATTATATTTTGACAACTTGTGCTCCATTTGTTGTGGTTTTTTTGTTGAAATAAAACGGACTTCGACAAATTAGGTCACAATTTAAAATATTTTACTATAAATAATAAGTAAAGCAATATTACAATCTTAACCATTTTTTCGTATAGCTACTCATTTTGGTTTCAAGTGTTTTTGTTTTTCATAAAAATATATAAGATAATTATTATAATCAGACATAAAAAACGTCTTTGAAATACAAAAAAAAACATATTTAGAAATACCTCAAGCTACGCTCGTGATGTTATAATATTTTATAGTAAAAAATATATAAATATCCCTTAACCACAACAGCTAATACACCAAAATATATAGAAGAATTACTCTTCTTCAGCGATCTAGGTACTTATTTCTTATGATTTTCAAAAACAAACAACTATAGTCCACCTACAATATTAACTTGGCCCGAATACACTAATAATTCAAAACTAGCTTTAATAATATTGACATATTATAACATAAACATACTTAGCAAAAACTCAAGCACCATTTCTGCGGTTATAATAATTTTATACTAAAAAATACCTAAATAACCCTTAACCACAACAGCTTATACATAAAAGTATATATAATAATAGCTCCACTACAGCGACCCAGGTACTTATTTCTTATGATTTTCGAAAAGTGGCGTTAATTTTAAACTGGGCAACGAATCAGCTTTTAATACCAACTGTGTAGAAACAACAATATCTTTTTGTGTTCCCAGTGTTTCCAATTGCATGTGTCTAACAACCGTTGATAGTACCGTCTTCATTAGATACATTGCAAATTTTTGACCTGGAACAGTAATTAATTGTAGTTTATAAAATGACAATCAAAATTGGGGTTTTGTTAGATTCATTTGTTAATGAATTTATCATACCAATACAGTTTCTCGGTCCTGCGCTAAACGGCAGGTATCCATATGGGTGTCGATCGTTACACTGCTCTGGTAAAAATCTATCGGCATCAAATACTTCTGGTTTTGGATACATTGACTCGTCACGATGTAGTATATAAATCAAAAAGCCTATAATACTATGTGCAGGTATTGTGTGGTTTTCTAGAATATTAATATGCTGATAACTTTAAGTGGAGTATAGAAATTAAGTTTTTTAACATACTAAGCTGTAATGGTTGGTTCAGTGTTCTCGTAACACCAGGAACACTGGGGTAAAGTCTCATAGTTTCTTTTATTACTCTTTCCAATATGGACATAGATTTAAGGTCTTCCATTGTAGCATCTCGATCACTGTCTCCAAATATTCCCCGAAGCTCTTCTCGGATGTCGGCCTATAAATGTCACCGGTTATATAAAACAGGTGATAAGTGTTTTTTTTTCGATAGATATTATTTTTAATGTTAAAACTCATTATAGTTTGTATGAAATATTGAAAGAAAAAAAAGTGGAAAAGGAAGTGTACAATTTGACCAAGATTCGAGAAAAGAGGTCCAGGGATTTTCAGAATGTGTGGTGTATAAAAGGCGAAGATGAAGAAGTGCTAAGAAAAAGGTGATAGAAAAAAGAATACGGAGTGAGACTACAATATCGAAGAATCAATTTGGGTTTATGCCAGGGAAACAACAGTGGAAACATAATTTTGTATGAATCGGTGGTGCAAAAAAATGGTGGGTATGATGAGGATGTGAAAAATAGAATAAATTGTGAATGAATGACGCGTATGGGAGCGTCGGGGGTATTGTGTGACAGGAGGATGCCTATTAAGGTGAAAGTAATTATTTGTAGGTCGGTAGTGAGGCAAGCAATGTTATATGGGTCAGAACCTTGAGCAGTTGATAAGAAAACTAAACAGAAAATGATTGTAGTGGAAATGAGAATGTTAAGATGGATAAGTGGATTGACTAAGGAAGATAGAATAAGAAATCAATACATTAGGGAGAGTCTATGGGTTGTATCTATTGTGGAGAAAATGAAAGAGAATAGGCTGAGATGGTTTGTTCATGTTATGAGAAGAGTGATAAGAATTATGAAGATGAATATAGAGGGAAACAGAGGAAGAGGAAGACTAAAGAAAAGATGGACTAGATTATGATATGAGGATAGCGGGAGTGTATGAACAAGATGGAGAACACCGAGCACTATGGAGGTGTAGGACTAGGGTGCCCGACCCCCTGTAATTGAGAGTGTAAGGCGAAGAAAAAGGAGAAGACAATAATTTTAAAGAACTGTGAGGCTATATAAAAATGCATACAATATCTAATTGTGATTAATTAATAAATTTAAAGATGGTATTATGGGATTAGGTAAATATCTATTATACTATTTGGTAAAAATCTACATAAGAATAAATGAAGGAAATTTGCATTATCCTAAATTCATAGTAGTAGTTTAGTTTTTTTTTTCACTATCAAAAATTAACTAA